GAGATCGGACGATGCACGGCTCAGATATGCACGTTGGTACTGAGCAATATCGTTGTAATATGCCGCGTGTTATCGACACCGTCATCTCATCAACATAATCAGCCATGGTCTATCCACTGCACTTTTATTACCTTGTGAATCCCTCGCTCGCCGTGTCTCGAAGCAACAATTAATCTCGCTCCTGGGCACGAGCCGATTTCCCGGCTCCATCTCCGTGGGCAACGCCCGGCACGCGCCCCCCCCCCCCCCCCCCCTCCGTGACGGCGCCTGCCACTCGCGCTGGCGACGACGCGTGTCGGAGCGCGAGGTGGGGGAGGGGTGGAGCGGGCGGGGGTAGATGGCCCAGGTGAAGGGGGCCAGGTGATTGGGGTCCAGGAAAGAGGATGAGGCAGAGAGGGCCGATGGCTCCAGATATTATTCCGCCTCAATCTTCGTCTTTATCAAAGTGTGCGCCGCCCAGCCTGTACGGCGAACGTTAAAGACTCCGTGGCGTTGCTCTTAAGAGCGCTGCTCACGGCTGATTGACATTAATTAAAGTAACGCTATTCTCACCACCGGAACATCCGTGCTGTCAGCTGCCTGCCCTCGTTCAAGCCCAGACGCCAATACCTTCCTGGATTGGTATAATAAATTATAACACATGATAATAACGTCGTTAAAGCAGGGTACAATCGCATAGCGAACAATAGAAATAGCGAATGTCGGCTTGGAAAAAAACACGAACGTGCTACACAGCATGGGAATGGAGAGGAAGCGCGTGAATAACCGAGACGGTGGATTCGGCGCATGATTAATCCGAGCAGCACCCAAATAGTGGCACCGACAAAATCCCCTCGACGCATCGCTCAGCCCTTGCGAGCTGCCGAGTGGCAGCTGATGGAAGTGCAGACGACGATCTCGCCCCCCCCCATCCCCCCAAAAAAGAATTTGACTAAAAAAGGGACATTTGCCAAAACACACGCGAGTCGCGGTCACTGAGCCTCTCTCTCTCTCGCGCTCTCTCCCCAGACCCTCACCTGGTTAAATAAAGGAGGCTGCCAGTGGAGCGGAGCTCACAAAGCCACGGGCGCGCGGTCCCAGTAATTGATGGCGCGCGGTGCCGCGCGCGCCCGCGACCTTTAGAGAAAAGCGACAACAGCGATTTATATTTATATGGCGGGGGAAGGGGGGCATAGTGGGGAGGCCGTTTGGAGTATGTGATGGGGAGTATATGGTGGTGTAGGATGGGGTTTTTTGATTGAGGTATGTGATGGAGGTATGCGTTGGTGGTTTATTGTGGGGGGTATGCGATGGCGGGGAGCGGGTGTGATGGAGTTGTGCTGTGATGGCGAAATATGTCTATGGGAGTGTGCAGTGGTGATGGTGGCTTGCGACGGGGTTGTGTGACGTGGAATGTACGTGACTGGCGGTATGCGATGCGTAATGCACGATGGATTAATGTGATTCGGTCTATGACGGCATGTGATGGATGAGTGGCATGGGGTGAATATAATATGATGTGATGGCGGTATATGATGCGAGTATTTGATTGAGTATGTCAGAGGCAGTATGTGATGGGGTGGGGGAAATTCCTTTGCGCACCTGTGCAATGGGGACACTACACGCACACCACACCCCCCACGCACCACACACCGCACACACCGCACACACCATACGTACCGCACGCACCGCACACCGCATACGCACCACGCGTACACCACACGCACCGCACACGCACCACGCGTACACCGCACACACCGCACACCGCACGCACCGCACAACGCACGCACCGCACACCGCACCACGCATACACCGCACACGCGCACACGCACCACGCGTACACCACACACACCGCACACCACACAACGCACGCATCGCACGCACCGCACACTGCACGCACCGCACAACGCACGCACCGCACGCACCGCACACTGCACGCGCACAGTTCGCGGTGATGCCAGGGCGAGACGCGGCACTTGGCAACGCGAATCGGCCCCCCGCCCCAACCCCCCCCCCCCTCTATCGCCGTTACCGCGGCCGGGAGCCGGGCGCGCGTGCCCCGCGGTAACGCAAACACCGCGCAGCCGCCGCTGCTGCATTCATCTCGCGGGAGCGCGGGGCGGAATGCGCCGCCGTGACGACTTAACGAGGGCGAGGGAGGGGGCATGGGGGGGGAGAAGACGGGGGGGGGATTTCGAATGAGGAGCTCTGTGGCTGCGTACGGTGCGAAATAAGTCCGACACACATACTTACATGTACAGCACGTGGTGGTTGGTTAGGGGAGGTGTTGAGAGGTGAATCTGGTGTTAAAGGGAGGTGATTGGTAGTGGTGGTGTTGGGGTTGGTGGTACAGTATTTGTCCCAAAAGTTTGTTAAGGCTATATGGGGGATCTTTCTAATGACGGCGGTGTTGCTCGTGTTGTTCATAGTGGTGGTGAGTGGTGTTGTGTCAATGGTGCGGGTGGTAGTGTTGTTCGCGTTAAAGGCGTTCATGGTGATCGTGGTCGTGTTGGCAAAGTGTTTAAACAGTATTTTTCGAAGGCACGGAAATATTCATGTAGCATCGCATATCATCCTCACACCTCCCCCAAATATCAACATCAAATACCACCATCACGTGCCTCCCATCACGCGCGTCCCATCACATGCTCTCGTCTGTCTCAGCACAGTGGTGGTGTTAGTGTGGTCGGCAGTTGTACTGCTTGTTGCTGTACTCGTGATGGTGGCATCGTAAGCGGTGCTGTTAGTGGTGCAGTTAGCGTGAGTGAGTGATGTTGGTGGTGACGTTGCGGTGTTTGAGTGGTGAAGGAGGGAGTCCCTTGCCTCGCTCCTGGACCCTTCAGGGGTTTGTGTTTCACCGCGGCCACCCTTGGCTGCGCCTCGCCTCCCCCCGTCTCCCCCGTCTCCTCCCCGCGTCTCCCCTCGCTCCATCTCCTCTCGCTCTGGTCGGACGAGGAATGTCCTTTTCTCGCCTCGCGTTTCACAGGCGGGAATGCGGGGGCTGCCCCCGTCTCCCCCCCCCGCCTCCCCAGACCCCCTTGAGAGCGGTACCTCATCTCCTTCTCGAGACCCCGGGGCAAGTGAGTCGGCGTCTGCGTGGCTTCTTAATACGGGAGTTGCCACTGCTGCTGTTGGTTTTATTGTCGTGTAGTTGATGTCTGGTTGCTGCTATGGTGACTGTATCGTTAGCTGGTTGACGTTGTTTATAATAAGAGGGCGCAGCCCTGCAATTGCTCGCTCACGCCACTGCTGGCGGAATGGCGCGGAGCGAGCATCAGAGAGCCCCTCTCTAGGACGACTGCTTGTGGCCTTCTCCTCCACGCCCGCCAGACGTCTTGGAAGAGGCAGACCGTGAGAGGTAACGATGGCTTGGGGAAGTCTTCGTCCAGCAGTGGATCGACCACAACCGATGATATTGTATCATCATCAACCTTTATTAAACCACTGCTGGATGAAGGCTTTCTCAGGCTGCCACCATCTCTCGCGATTTGGCGACGTAATCTACCTATAGCGCCTGCGCACGGGTTGATCTTATCGCTCAATCTCCTCGGTGGAGGTCCTCTGAGACTCGTTCCACTCATTGGCTGCCACTCCATGTTCAGTCTTGACCACGGGCCGTCGTCTCGTCTCGCCGTGTGGGCGTGTCAAGCCTCACTCGAGCTCCTTGGCAGTTCCAACGCTGCCATTGAACTTCCTTCGTCTGGCCTCTGATCCACATCCCTTTGCTCTCTTTTTAATTTGTACTGCGAATTTTGCCTCGTGTCAATTTGTAATCTCGTGTGTCCAGTTAATTGGTGCTGTAACCCACACTCCTGGTTCGTTCTCTGACGTTTAACCGTCTGCCATTCTCTCAGTGTCCCGGCTACTGCTCCCAATCATCTTCAACAAATTAAAAGTTATTTTGAATCTCCCATTTAATTCTTACACTTCGCCTCTCGTCCCGTCAACTCCACTGGCTTGTCGTTTACTCTACCGCTGTTAGAATACCTTCACATTCGTCTCTACATCTCTCCATGGCCTCGCTCCACCTGAACTCGCCTCTCTCATCTCCGTCTATGCCCCCCCTCGTTCCTGTTCGTTCACAATCTTCTCTCTCTGTCTGTGTCTCTCCTCCTCCTCCGTGCCCAATTCCGTGTTCGGATCTTCTTCCTCCTTGCACCCCTCCACCGGCGTAACCTTCCCCTCCACATCAAGCAGCCCCCCTCCTCAACATCCTTCCATTCATATTCTTAGTTCTTTCGGTAAAGTCACGTAGAAGTGAAACAAGAAAATAATAAAAATATAAAACAATAAAATTCTTCCGTTCCTCTGTTAAAGCTTCACCTCTTATCTATGGTCCATTATTTTTCTCTTGCCTCCCCTCGCCACTCCTTCCCGTGCCTCCCCTACTCTTTCGTGATCCCTGGGTGCCCTCTATCACTGTCACTCATTCCTCAATACCTTGCACGCCCCTGTCAACTAAACCATTCTATTCTGTCATCGTTGTGTACGCTGTCAAGCGCCTTGAGTGAAGGCGCTCTATATAAATAAGATTGGATTAATGTCTTTGTTATACGGCACAGACCACGTCAATGCAGGCGCTTTACACAATCACGCATCTCTCCCCATGCTTTTTTGCGCACTCGACGTGGTCCGTTCAGTGCCTTTTCGGTAGTGGCCGTGATTCTGAGTCCTTGTCATCTTTTTCATCGCGGTGCGCCTTCAATCTGACCTTGGGGACGCGCGCATACCCTGCATGCTGTGCCCCGCCGACAGATGCACGGCTGCCCTCTGCTGAAAGCCGATAGGACAGCATCTGGGGTAGGGTGGTCGCACACCCAGGCACTGTCCCGGCTCGAGCCTGCTTAGCTTACAAGATTCGGGTGATTTGGACAGAGCGCCCCGATCACCGTACATCCGAGCCTGGTTGTGTCCGCGGCCCCAGGGTCTCGGGGTCCCGGGCGCGGAGAGACCCGGGGCGCTGTGGGGTCGTGGCGCCCCCTCGTGGTAGACGACGACTCGAGTCGGGGGTGACCCGCGTGGAGTTGGGAGCAGCAATTTTATTACAGCGGAGCGTGCAACCAAGCACACACACCGAGCGTGCAACCAAGCACACAAACACACACACCGTGTACACATAGCGGCCGTCATTTACCCACTAAGTGGCGGTTACGTTACCACAACGCTTGTGCCAGGATAGGTGCACGTTGAGGCTATCACGTGCAGTGTGCAAGGCTCTCGCTGCTGGCAGGTCACGGGAGAGACCCAGCCAGGTGCGTGGCATGGGCTGACTGACCGAGATGACCACCTGTGCTGCCCACTGTGCTATGCTTGCACTTATTCACTCATACTAAAGACAAAGACCCCCCCCCCTCCCCCATAGCCTTTACCAGACTGTTGGGGCAAGGGCTGTGCTGTTAGCGAGCACCTATAAGGGGCCGCAACGACGCCACGAGGGGAGGAGTTGCCAGCGCCACGTCCGACCGCCTTTGTCTCCCCAGTGCTGGTGTTCACACACCGCACCAGGTACTTACATATGGCCACCTCCTTTTGAGGCCCAGGACATGTTCGGATATTCGTCACCGAATTTGGCTGTGAGCGGAAATCGAACTCAAGTCGCCATGTTCGCAGCACATTGCGCTAACCACTGCGCCACCGCCCCCCCCCCACATACACACAGTGCCGTCTCTACCTACGTAAGGGGCCCACCCCCAGTTTATTGAGGACCCCCCTCACATTGTCTCTCCCCGTATCTCTCCTTATCAGCATCACGTGTCTCTGCGTTTCCGTATCTCTCTCCTTGTCAGCATCACATGTCTCTGTCTCGCCGTGTCTCTCTCTTTGTCAGCATCACGTGTCTGTCTCGCTGTCTGTATCTCTCCTTGTCAGTATCACGTGTCTCTGTCTCGCCGTATATCTCTCCTTGTCAGCATCACGTGTCTCTGTCTCGCCGTGTCTCTCTCCTTGTCAGCATCACGTGTCTCTGTCTCGCCGTGTCTCTCTCCTTGTCAGCATCACGTGTCTCTGTCTCGCCGTGTATCTCTCCTTGTCAGCATCACGTGTCTGTCTCGCTGTCTGTATCTCTCCTTGTCAGCATCATGTGTCTCTGTCTCGCCGTGTCTCTCTCCTTGTCAGCATCACGTGTCTCTGTCTCGCCGTGTATCTCTCCTTGTCAGCATCACGTGTCTCTGTCTCGCCGTGTCTCTCTCCTTGTCAGCATCACGTGTCTGTCTCGCCGTGTCTCTCTCCTTGTCAGCATCACGTGTCTCTGTCTCGCCGTGTATCTCTCCTTGTCAGTATCACGTGTCTCTGTCTAGCCGTGTCTCTCTCCTTGTCAGCATCACGTGTCTCTGTCTCGCCGTGTCTCTCTCCTTGTCAGCATCACGTGTCTGTCTCGCCGTGTCTCTCTCCTTGTCAGCATCACGTGTCTCTGTCTCGCCGTGTATCTCTCCTTGTCAGCATCACGTGTCTGTCTCGCCGTGTCTGTATCTCTCCTTGTCAGCATCACGTGTCTGTCTCGCTGTGACCTTTAGTCACCTTCCGCGGTCTCTTCTCTCGAACACGAAGCGGTGTGCCACTGTTTACTGGAAGCGTTTTCGCCTAACGATCTAACGCCGAGAGCAGAACGAGAATACAACTTGCACAGAATAATGAGAGAAAACTAAACAAATCATGAGAATATTAAAACTAGACCCGCGAGAAGCCAGTGGGACCGCACAACGTGGGTGGGGGTCGAGATGCGAGGAGGCGACCTGGGATGCGGAGATCGCTCGAGAGTCGAGGGCAGTCGGAGGGTCAGGGGTGGGGGCAGGAATTGAGGGGGGAGGGCGAGGGGATTCCCAGCCCCCCCGCCACCCGCTATCGCCCACCCCAACTGCGCACGTGTACTTCATGTGTATACGTGTATGTATACGTTGATCCATGTGCCTGTGAATATATCTGTGTATATGTAGACGTCTGTGTGCATGTATTTCTCACTTATGTGCATGCGCCTCTATTGTGTCTGTGTATATGTGCATCTCTATGTGCGTATACGTGTGTATACATATCTACGTGTGTATATGTGTATGCGTACACAGCTGTGTATACCTATATATGCGTGTGCGTGCCTGTGCTCAGCGCACCACGGCAGCACGATGAGCAACGCTCGGGGACGCGCGGGGAGATCCGCTCGGGTTTAGCTAGCAGGGGAGGAGGGGGGGTGTTGATCCCCCGTGCATAACTCACACCTGTAACCCTTCCCGCGACCAGGTGTGCGCCCTGCTGCTCCAGGCCGTGCCCGTGATGGCCCCCACTGGCCACGATGAGCTTGGGTGTAGGGCTGGGCCGCAGCGCCTACACGGATCGTTCTTGCCCCCACCTACCACCCCGGGGCTGAACGAGGACACCCCCCGTACCCCTCCCTGGTTCAGGGTCTATCTCGGCCCAGCCCTGGGCGTGCGCAGTCCGCATCGGGGCCGAGCGGCTCGGGCCGCGGGGCGAACTCTGGCCCCTCGGCATCGCACGGTGGGGTTTGCTCCGGGGGGGCCCTCGCACACCCCCGCTCCCCCCTCGCCCAGGGTCGGGGTGAAACCGCAGACTGTGCAGTCTCGGGGAGACCCCGTTAGACGTGGGGTACCCCCGCCCCAGTGAGCGGGGTGCTGCGGGCGATCGCGAGCCTCGACGCCGACGCCACCCTCGCCCCAACGTGACCACCTCGGTGCTCACGTTCGCACGGCGTTGGCACGACGCGACGCGGCCGCGCGCAGTGACTCGGGAGGTGAATCTCTCTCGTGGTGTTCGCAGTTTTGTGTTTAGTCGCCACGCGTGCCATCAACTCGGCTCATTGCTCCTCTGCCACCAGAAGAGCATCGGCATAACCGTGAGAGGCCCTTATCAGGTTGTCAACGTGCCGACCAGAAGAACGTCTCTGGCCACTGACAGGCGTTGCCATACTCGATGTGCTGTTCGAATGTCGTGGGAAAGAGACTCGCCCCTCACCGCGCTCGTCAGCATCCAAATTGTTTCGAATTGGCAGCAGCGGCAATGTTTATTGCCCGTGAACGCCCACGCTGTGAAGCAGACAAACGACGACGAGAGTTCTGTCCCCAAGTGCGATGTAGGGGTCGGGTTAGAGTGAGAGGAACGGCTGAAGGGCGATCGATAGGTCGGTTAGAGCTCGGTGGGGACGGAGCGAGTGATTGGCTATTGCGGCTAAGGTCAGGCTCACGCAAGTTGGCTTGCGTGAGGTGGAGAGCCGGACTAGGGGCTGGCGAGTTAGGCTTGAGCGCTAGGGGGTTGACTATAGGGGGCTGGTGCGAGTGAATGGGAGATTAGGGGTAGGGTTCTCGTCTTCCGCACTAATACCACTCGCCCCGTCCCCCTTCTCCCCATGCTGGTGTTTAAAGCGCGTGCGTGCGTTGGAGGGGGGGAGAGACAAAAACGGGCGGGCGGGCATTTGGGCGGAGGCAGCGGGTTCGAGCGCAGGCGGCGAGCGTCCCGGTCGCGGGGGTCACTCGAACGCGCGTCTCACGGCGAGAATGAGCCCCACGATGACGGCCACGGCGGCCACGGCGGCGCCGCCGTACAGCAGGAGGTTGCTCTCGGCCGCGTGCGACGACGGCGCAGCGCTCTCCGCCTTGGCTCTGGCTCCAGGCTCCGGCCCGGCTCCAGGCTCCGGCCTGGATCCTGGCACCGGCTCCACCGCCGGCCGAGGCTTCACCTCCTCCGCTGCCAGAGAGAACTCGGCTTCTGAAGATTTAAACTCGGACAGAGGTGCAAACCCTGGCTTGGGCTTAACCTCTGGTACAGGTTTAAATTCTGGTACTGGTTTAACCTCTGGTACAGGTTTAACTTCTGAAACTGGTTTAACCTCTGGTACTGGCTTTACCACTGGAACTGGCTTAACCTCTGGTACTGGTTTAATTTCTGGAATTGGCTTAGCCACTGGCGCTGGTTTAACTTCTGGTACCGGTTTAATTTCTGGAATTGGCTTAACCACTGGCGCTGGTTTAACTTCCGGGATTGGTTTAACCTCAGGTACTGGCTTAACCTCTGGTACAGGTTTAACTTCTGGAACTGGTTTAACCTCTGGTACTGGCTTTACCACTGGAACTGGCTTAACCTCTGGTACTGGTTTAATTTCTGGAATTGGCTTAGCCACTGGCACTGGTTTAACCTCAGGTACTGGCTTAAAAACTGGCACTGGTTTAACCTCTGGTGCTGGCTTAACCTCTGGCACTGGTTTAACCTCCTCCTCCTCCTCCTGCTCATCATCCGGAAGTGGGACCACGTTGATTCTCTTCATCATCTCCTGGACCTGGGCGAGTCTGTTGAGGTCCTTGCTCAGGTCTAGGCTGCCGAAGGGGATCTGCCCGGTCTCCATCCACTGCGTGTGCGCCAACCCCGGGGTCGCCCCCAGCTCCGCCGCTCCCAGCGCCGACACGGCCGCCTCCTCTGCGCGAAACGAGACAGGGCCCATGGCGCCACGGCCCGGGTCAGGGCCATCAAATCCTACCAACCTCGGCGCCGTTTCACAGCCAAAGTACGTCGTGCGCGACGCATCCGTACACGACCTGTCACGTTTTTTACGCTCGTTGCGCCGTACCGATGCATGACCTTGCGAGTTCGAATTGTTTTGCCGCATGTTTTGCTGTAACCGGGGAACGCAGTGGCCTCGGCCTTGGATAGATTTGGACAAAGCGGTCAACATCTGCAACATGCCTCCATTGCCTGTGCGTGGCCGGTACGGCCGCGGGGTTCCTCCGACGGGCTCACGTGGCGCGGGCCCTACCCCCCGCGTAGACGCCTGTCGCTGGCTCACTCGGCATCCACGGCGGGAGCGGCGTCGGTCCAGTTTGAACGCTCTCGTTATGAAGCCGCGTTTTAGACTCGCCCGCTCAGCCATCCACTCGCTCGCCCGCTAACTCGCCCACGTGTACACTCCAGACCGCGTCGTGTCTGAACACAAGTCTACAGGTGCTGCACCAGTCTGCAAGCTGGCCTCAATGTGTGTGGTAAGCTGTGCCTACTCCGTCCACCCAAGGTCTCCCAGTCACAAGCCGCCTTGCTCCGCGGGTGCAACTACACAGCGCTGCAGAAGCAGCAGCACACACACACACTCACCTGCCTCTACACACACACACCTGTCGCTACACACACACACACTCACCTGTCTCCACACACACACACTCACCTGTCTCCACACACACACTCACCTGCCTCTACACACACACACCTGTCGCTACACACACACACACTCACCTGTCTCCACAGACACACTCACCTGACTCTACACACACCTGTCTCTACACACACACTCACCTGTCTCCACACACACACACACTCACCTGCCTCTACACACACACACTCTCACCTGTCTCTACACACACACTCACCTGTCTCCACAAACACATTCACTCGCCTGTCTCCACACACACACTCACCTGTCTCCACACACACACTCACTCACCTGTCTCTACACACACTCACCTGCCTCCACACACTCACCTGTCTCCACACACTCACCTGTCTCCACACACACACACTCACTCACCTGTCTCTACACACACACACTCACCTGTCTCCACACATATACCTGCCTCTACACACACACACACCTGCCTCTACACACACACACTCACCTGTCTCCACACACACACACTCACCTGTCTCCACACACACACACTCACCTGTCTCCACACACACACACTCACCTGTCTCCACACACACACACTCGTCTCCACACACACACACTCACCTGTCTCTACACACACACTCACCTGTCTCCACAAACACACTCACTCACTCGCCTGTCTCCACACACACACTCACCTGTCTCTACACACACACTCACCTGTCTCCACAAACACACTCACTCACTCGCCTGTCTATACACACACACTCACCTGTCTCCACACACACACACCTGTCTCCACACACAAACTTACCTGTCTTCACACACTCACCTGTCTTCACACACACTCACCTGTCTTCACACAAACACACACTCACCTGTCTCCACACACAAACTCACCTGTCTTCACACATACACACACACACACCTGTCTCTACACACACACACTCACCTGTCTCCACACACACACACTCACCTGTCTCCACACACACACTCACCTGTCTTTACACACACACACACACTCACCTGTCTTTACACACACACTCACCTATCTCCACACACTCACCTGTCTCCACAAACACACACACTCACCTGTCTCTACACACACACTCACCTGTCTCCACACATACACACACACACCTGTCTCCACACACACACTTACCTGTCTCCACACACACACTCACCTGTCTTCACACATACACACCTGTCTCTACACACACACACTCACCTGTCTCCACTCACACACTCACCTGTCTTCACACATACACAAAGACAAAGACAAAGATCCCCCGTATAGCCTTACAGACTGTAGGGGCAAGTGCTGTTAGCGAGCACCTATGAAGGCCGGAACGGTACACGAGGGGGTGGGTGGCCAGCACCACGCCCGACCGCCTTTGTCTCCCTAGTGACGATGTTTACACACCGCACCAGGTACTCATTTGAGGCTGAGTCGACCTAGGGGAGGACCGGGACCGGTTCAGATAATCGTCACTGGTGTTGGCCGTGAGCGGGAATCGAACCCGGGTCGCCAGGTTCATAGCGCAGCGCGCTTACCGCTACACTATCGCTCCCCACATACACACACCTGTCTCTACACACACTCACCTGTCTCCACACACACTCACCTGTCTTCACACATACACACACACCTGTCTCTACACACACTCACCTGTCTCCACACACGCACTTACCTGTCTTAAAACATACACACACACACACCTGTCTTCACACATACACACACTCACCTGTCTCCACACATACACACACACCTGTCTCTACACACACTCACCTGTCTCCACACACACGCTCACCTGTCTTCACACATACACACACACACACCTGTCTTCACACATACACACACTCACCTGTCTCCACACACACACTTACCTGTCTTCACACATACACACACACACACCTGTCTCTACACACACACACTCACCTGTCTCCACACACACACTCACCTGTCTCTACACATACACACTAACCTGTCTTCACACATATATACACACACCTGTCTCCACACACACTCACCTGTCTTCACACATACACACACCTGTCTCTACACACACTCACCTGTCTCCACACACACTCACCTGTCTTCACACGTACACACATACCTGTCTTCACACATACACACACCTGTCTTCACACATACACACACTCACCTGTCTCCACACACACACTTACCTGTCTTCACACATACATACACACACCTGTCTCTACAAAAACTCACCTGTCTCCACACACACACTCACCTGTCTCCACACACACACTTACCTGTCTTCACACATACACACACTCACCTGTCTTCATACACACTCACATGTCTTCCCACATACACACACTCACCTGTCTCCACACATACACTCACCTGTCTTCACACATACACACACACCTGTCTCTACACACACACACTCACCTGTCTCCACACACACACTCACCTGTCTCTACACACACACACACCTGTCTTCACACATACATACACACACCTGTCTCTACAAAAACTCACCTGTCTCTACACACACCTGTCTCCACACACACACCCACACACTTACCTGTCTTCACACATACACACCTGTCTCCACACACACACACTCACCTGTCTCCACATACACATACACTCACGTGTCTCCACACACACACTCACCTGTCTCCACACACACACACTCACCTGTCTCCACACACACACTCACCTGTCTCTACACACACACACACCTGTCTTCACACATACATACACACACCTGTCTCTACAAAAACTCACCTGTCTCTACACACACCTGTCTCCACACACACACCCACACACTTACCTGTCTTCACACATACACACCTGTCTCCACACACACACACTCACCTGTCTCCACATACACATACACTCACGTGTCTCCACACACACACTCACCTGTCTCCACACACACACTCACCTGTCTTCACACGTACACACACACTCACCTGTCTCCACATACACACACACTCACCTGTCTCCACACACATACTCACCTGTCTCCACACACACACTCACCTGTCTCCACACACACACTCACCTGTCTTCACACGTACACACACACTCACCTGTCTCCACATACACACACACTCACCTGTCTCCACACACATACTCACCTGTCTCCACACACACACTCACCTGTCTCCACACATACACACACTCACCTGTCTTCACACACACACTCACCTTTTTCCACACACACACTCACCTGTCTTCACACACACACTCACCTGTCTCCACACACACACTCACCTGTCTTCACACACACACTCACCTGTCTTCACACACACACTCACCTGTCTCCACTCACCTGTCTCTACACACACTCACCTGTCTCCACACATACACACACACCTATCTCCACACACACTCACCTGTCTCTACACACACTCACCTGTCTCCACACACACTCACCTGTCTCCACACTCACCTGTCTCTACACACCCTCACCTGTCTCCACACACACCTGTCTCCACACACACACACTTGTCTCCACACACACACCTGCCTCTACACACACCTGTCTCCACACACTCACCTGTCTCAGTGCCATCGCTGAGCTCCTCCGTCTCCACGTGGACGATGTCGGAGTTGGAGGATGAGTGGTCGCTCGGCTCCACCCCCACATCACTCAGCTGCTGCCACGACTCCTGGGGGTCCATGGAGGATGGGGGGCCCTGCCAGGAGCCGGGGCCCCCCAAGGGCAGGGGGGATGCGAAATCCCCTTCGTGGAGGCTCCCGTGTCCGGTCGCCGTGGCGACCGGGAGATCAGGCTCGCGCAGCGGTGACGGGTCTCCCTCAGAGGCGGGGGTTTCCATGGCAACAGAGATGCTCGGCGGCACGCGGTCTCGCTTGGTGACGTCACCAGGTGAGTTCAGCACCTGGGAGAGAGGTCACGACAGATGCGAAGCCACCATGGTGTGAATTTGTCCTTTGGTATTTGGTGGCGCAGCAGTAATACTGGCGCCTCGCATCAAGAACCCCTGGGTTCGGGCGGTCGCCTTTCTGTGTGGAGTTTCCAAGTTCTCCCCCATGTCCTACACAATGAGAGTGTGAGAATGTGAGAGTGTGGAGTTTGTATGGGGAGTGGTACTGCAGCAGTTAGTGTTGTACTGCAGCAGTTAGCGTTGCACTGCGCTATGAACCCGGCCACCTGAGTCCGATTCCTGCTCACGACCCAATATTAGTGAATATCTGAATATTAGTGATGCATATCTGAATATTAGTGATGAATATCTGAATATTAGTGATGAATATCTGAACTGATCCTGGGCTTTCCCTAGGTCGACTCGGCGTTCAAATCAGTACCTGGCAGTGGCGTGTAAACATCAGCACTTGTCTCAATAGTTTGTTGAAGGCTATGTGGGGCATCTTTATCTTTGGAGTTTGTATGTTCTCCCTCTGTTCTGCGTGGGTTTCCCCCGGTGTCCTTCCATACAATGCAACTCGCCTGGGCCAAACAACTCAATCTCACGCTAGCCTCTCCTCTCATCTCCTAGAGAGAGCTCCTCCATCTGTTGTGAGGATGGCCGAGGTTGTTCACACGACCCGGCCTTAGCCGGATGGCTAAGGCCGCTGCTGCACGTAGCTGCTTGGAGCCCGGCAGTGTTGGAGGCAGCAGTGAGGGTTGGTTTGATCGTCGAGCAGGAGCCGTACCCTGGCTCGCCAGGAGAATGCAGTAGAGCAAGTGGCTTCATCGTCATCTGTTTACATCTGTACCGGAATAGCGTGTTGCCCCCTCGCACAAGGTGTGGGTTTTCTCCAGGTACCCCCGTTTACTCCCGACGTGTTGTATAAGAAACACGACTTATCAATTTACTGAACATTTTTTGCAAATATAAACATCTTAAAAACATCTCACAAATAAAACCCCAAGGCAAGATCTTTCTGAAAAAGTAGTTCTGTGACTCAGTGCGGCTCTCCTTGATGTATCGGGTTAAAAAAAAAACGATTCCATGTGAAGAGGCGTAGCCAGAGAAGACGGTGCGACCGAACAGACGAGGCGGTACACAAACAATGCAAACAAACATTACCATACAAACAATACAAACGAGACGGAGCACAGGGAGAATGACTTGACCAGCAAGACCAAGGACAGTCGCCACCTTCCTGTACGCTCCCACGCCCGTGCTCTACACCTACACCAACCCGCACTGACCTACGTGGTGAAGTATGGTCGATGAAGCGCTACGATCCGCACGGCATTGGGAGGCCCTTATCCAGCAGTGGATTTACAGAGACGCTGTGCTGCACGCGTACACGACCCCCCACTCCCTGCAACTCCTCCCTCACCCGCGCCTCCATTTGGGACTGCGTCACGTGGCCGGCCTGGCGCCTCACGGACAAACCAACAGGCTTCGGGTTTGAACCCTGGTGAGGGAGGTCGGGCGCATAAGAGATCATGACTGGGGACTCCTTTAGCTTCTCCCTGAGCACAGGTTAGTCAACCACCCTCGTGAACGACCGTGGTCGTTCTATGGATATCCCCGGCACCGCCATAGGAATGTGGTATTTCCAGTAAACAGTAGATGAGCACCAGTGACTGACTCATGAGCGCAGGTCAATGAGTACACGTGGATGGGTTTCGGCTTCAGGTCTCACAAGGCGGAGAACTCGTTTCGGGGCCGGTTACCCTGCGTCTACATTGCCAATGCGTCCCAACACCCTGCACAGAACACCCTGTACGGAACACCCAATTTAGAATCTAAGCTAGAGTACGACTGCAGAGTTTAGACTCGAAGCTAGAGTTGGGCTGTAGAGTATAGACGACTCTAAGCTCGAGTAAGACGGCAGGGTTTAGACTCTAGGCTCGAGTAAGACGGCAGGGTTTAGACTTTAGGCGAAAGGTAGACTGCAGAGCGCGGGTTGGAGAACCCCCATTTACCGAGGGCAGAATATTAGTGTCAAATATATTTGGCGGGCAGCCACAACGTGAACTCACACATCTCAGTCTGTTCTGGCACTGTAAGCAAGGCGCCCTTGGTCGTGACAGACGTGAGTGAATGTGCGCAGTGCTAAAATTAGACACGAATTGCTGCCGGATCGATGAGTTCAGCGGCGCCCCTCTAGCAACCGATCAGCGCGGCTAGGATCCCTCGTGCAGTGACACGCGGTTGGCGGTGCCGCGCTCAAAAAAGGAACACACCCAGGGCCCCCATCACCATCCTCAACCCCACCAATACTGCTCAAAAGATCCCCCCTACCCCTCCCCCAGCCCCCCCGCCATCCTGGGCGGGGTGATGTCGCCGCGTCTCTCCGCGCCATCAGCCATCGGCTCATTCACGCGTTCACTCGGGACGACCCGCGCGGGGTGGGGGAGACAAATGGGGAGGGGGTGGGAGATGGAGGCGGTGCGGGATGGAGCGGAGAACGGTCGTGCCAGGCAAGTTCACCCACGGTTACATCACGATCATTATCAGCGGCTTTATAGAATCATCACTCTCAACATCAGTACCGACAACTCTTTCATAATCACTAATAGCAGATCGTAATTGTCTGCGCCATCATCACCAGCATCATCAACAGCACCACCGGCAACACCGGCATCGTTGAAGCGATACCAAAGTGTATCATTACCAATTAACCGACAATCCAAGGCGAGTTTAAGTCTTCCCGCGCCGTGGCTTCGATGGGAATTGTTTGACCATCACCACGTTGGTCAGTGCCAGATGGTAGAGGAGGGTGGGGGGAGTGGTTCAGCACCAGTTCAGATAACCCTCGCCACTGATGTTGGTCGTGATCGGGAATCGAACAAAGTGGCTGGATTCATAGCGCAGTGTGCTAACCACTTTGCCACCGCTCCCCAAATAATCAGCATCACTATCATAATCCGTCTCACCATCATAATCAGACATTATCAGCAGCAGCACATTCAATGGATAATATCGTCACCATCACCACCCACGTGTCACGCTGCTATTTATATCCCCCGAGCCCCACTCCTCTCGGATTCGCGGGGCTCACGGAGTCCGTTTCCTTATTCGGCCCAGATCCCCAGGGCCCTCGGCTCCTCGTGACGGCGGTGGCGATTATTCGATTGTGTCTGGTTGCTCGAGGCTCGAATAGCACCAGAGGACAGAGTTATGGACAATCAGGGTTTAGCAGCAGGGGGGTATTAGTTCTGGTCAGGGTGAGGTTTCATGTGTCATGGCTTACGAGTCTGAGTCAGAATTTGTATCGGGAGGGTGGTCACAATCGGGGTTAGAATTGAGCCGGGGTTAGAATTGAGCCAGGGTTATGGGCGGTGTCATGGTCGGGGTTACTGAGTTTCGGGTCGGGATAAGATTATGATCGGGGAGGATTAGGGTCAAGGTCAGGGTTGTGGTCAAGGTCAGGGTTGTGGTCAAGGTCAAAACAATAACCTGCACCAAGGGTCGTGGAGTATCACTCAACCCCCTGTGCCGAGCTCCTCAACTTTCCCCTGACGCGGGCGATTCCGTCTCGAGGACACCGCCGTGGACTTCCATCGCCAAGCCACGCGGAGTCGGCCCCCAACGCGCCGCGCGGCCTCATTTGGGCGCAGCCAGCCACCCTCGATTCTCTCCCCCCAACCACGCCTCCCCCGCCCCTCGCTCTCCCGGGTTCGGGTCTCCTGCTCGTCCCTGCGTATTCCGTGAGCTGCACGCGATGGGACTCCATGGCGACCCGTGTTGACCCAAGTATCGTCCCCCCAGCCGTTATCGATTAAGAGCGACGCCGCGTCGCATCCCTCCCCCGCCCCGCCCGCATTCCCCACCCCCTCCACCCCGCCCCTCCCCCGCGGCGCGGAATTTGCGCCCGCCCGACGCGGCTGCCAAGTTGGGCGCAACTCCCGCAGGAGGTTCCAGCCGACTCCTCGCTCGACAAATTCCTGCCCACGTCTCCACCCCGCCACCGCGATATAAAACTCAGTAATTAATAATAGAAGCAACGCCACATAGATCTACGATGGCCTCCACGAGTCTTCTCCAGACTTTTTTTTGCAAGATCATGTGACATTGCGATGTTTGACCAACGCCATTCATCATTGCCTGGCACGTAGAAGTAAACCGGAGGAGGGGGTGGTGACGCTCAAAGCTCCGCACAGATAGGTTTAAGAATCCATAGCCGCCTTGCCATCTCGTAGCCACCTCGCAGAAACGCGTTGGTTGAAACTCTGTACGGGCAGGCGCGGAGTGGAGCTCGAATGACAGCAAGGCGACGCCTCCTCTACAGCGGGTCCTAGTCAGGGGTTCCGAGAAACCAGCGGAGGGGGCCGCGACGTCTGAATGAGGCCACAACCTCAGGTCGCGTGCCCTCGGGGGTGGGTGGGCAGTCCGGCCCAGTCCCGCATCGCGAGGTTCCCTGCGCCTCCCCCCGCGCCCTCTGCCGCCAAGCACGGCCCCGCATTACAGCCTCTCCCTGCGCCACTCGCTCCCACGCCCTGCCCCTCTCCCCTGCTGCCACCGCCCTGCCCTCTCTCCCCTCTCTTCAGCAGCGCTCCCCATTGCCGCTGCAGCAGGCGGAGTCGCATGACTTTGCGCAAAGACCCCAAATAACCCTGGGGCCTACCGCGGGACCGAACCCCCGTGACGGACCCCGTGCGGACCCCTGGGCCGCCGCGGTCGAAACTTTGAGTGACGCAGTAAGCGCGTTCAGCTAGCGGGGTCCCCTGGATCGCGCGGAACGGTGAGAGTTCAGATTTAGGGGGTGTGGGGGGGGGTCTGGGGGGGGGGGGTCCATCTCGGAGACGCTCGGGAGGGGGGTCAGGAGGAGAGGGGAGCGCTCACCTGGAGGGTAGACGTGCGATCCTGCAGCGCGCTGTGGGGCGGCTGGGCGCTGTGCGTGCGGCGAAAGTCTCCGTCTCCTCTGCTGAGTGGGGGCGGTGATGTCAGCAGAGGGGACGGCACGCGGGCCGTGCGCTCCGCGTCACGCGCACGCGCGCTCTCACTCTCACGCACAGCAAAGACAAAGATGTCCCTTATAGCCTTGAACAGACTCTTGGGGCAAGAGCCGTGTAGCGAGCAACCTTGCTAACCGCTACATTACCGCTCTCACAAACTCACGCACACTCGCTGTCAGCAACTTTCACGCACGCAAGCGCTGTTACGCACGCATTCTCACGCACTGTTACACCCACATACACGCGTGCGCACTCACACGCAAGTGTCCACGGCACCCATTGTCACGCACACTCATGCACACACTACTGCGGGATCTGGCATAAGGAAGGGAGCGATGGCGAGAGATGTGTGGTGGCGGCATTAACGACATTGCCCCCATGACTGCTTTTAGCGCGAGTGGATCCTCAGTTGAGTGAAGGGCACACGGATGGATGGGGGTGAGGGAATTGATTGTCATTTAGGGAGCCATCGGCCCCCAAATCTGCCAGAATCGCCATTGCGCACTCGCACACGCAACCCGCTCCACCACCGCTCCCCATGAACGCCAGCACACACTCTCAGCCGTGTGGGGCCTATGCGTGACAGTGAGGAGATTTCTCTGGCTGCATCCAGAGGGGGTGCTAAAGGATCTTGGGGAGGAAGTGGGGTGATGGTAAAGTCTAATTGGGGGGCGAGGGGTGGGTAGACGGCCGCGGAGGCCCAGGAAGGGAGGAGTCTGGTTGGGTGTGAGCGATAAGCGAAGGCTGGAGGAGGGGGGTGGCTGGTCTATGGCTCTGCGCGTTCCTGAGCGCAGTCGTAATACACAGGGGAGAGTGGTGCGCATGTGTTCCTTCCCCCGTTATTGTAGTGGCACGGTCCAGGCTTCCTATAGCGATGCATGGCTCGCGGGGGGTTTGGTTGTACCACTGCCACGCAGGGGGTGCCGGAGGTTGTGTGCGAGCAGCTTGTGCCCACGTGTCGCGCGGAGCGACCCTTGCGGTATCCCTGCCGTGTGTACTCTATTGGGAGCGGTGGCACAGCGGTTAGCGCGCTGCGCTACGAACCCGGCTACCCGAGTTTGATTCCCGTTCACGGCCAACACCTCGTGACAATTATTTTAACCGGTCATGGGCCTCCGCTAGGTTGACTCAGCCTAGAATGAGAACATGGTGCGATGTGTAAGCATCGCCACGTACCCTTCGGGTGCCGATCCAGCCTTCATAGTTGCTCGCTAACAGCACTTGCCCCAAAAATCTGTCTTTGTGTACTATGCACGTGTCATCATGGTCAATCCGCTGCTGTATGAAGGCTTTCTAAGTCGCTAGCGATCTCCACCGAGCATCTTGCACACGAGCTAATGTCATCGCTCCACCTCAATGTGTACTTGTCACACGGAAAGTCCCATTTATCCAGTTACCCGGATAGTCTGCAAGATAGATCCGTGGATACATCAGAACAAGAACAACAACACGATGGAAGTGATCCGCTCGGAGCAGCAGCAACATCGGAATAGAACGCGTCAGAGGTGCAGGAAAAATAAGTACTTAATGAACCACATCAGAAAACAAGTTTTGCTGACTGGCTGGAGGGATGGACAGTCGATTACGTTCAAAGGACGTGCAGAATCATCGTTCTTTATTACAATGACTAGGGGTTGTTTGGGGGCGCCTGCGGCACCCCTCACAAACATTTACGGCCTTCGGCCAGGAAAGTCACAAAACAAATTGCACACGAACGACGCATTCACGCAAGTACCCGATGCTCCATTTTGAAGTTTTAAAATGAAACATCTTTGAATTGCATTATGTTTTGAATTAGATACTTTATTTCTTAATTAAAGCTTATATCATTTTACATCTGGAAGACTTAATTGAAGACGACATTTCGTGTGAATTTTCTCTCGTTAAGTAGATGGCCTTGCTGGGGGTTTGGTTCGATGCGGACTTTCACCTGTTTGGGATTGCGGGATCGAGATAAGGTGACATCGAGCTGGCTGTGCGAGAAGACCACCGTCTGCACATAGATTCTAACGTGATCGAACGTCTGTCCCTGCGCCTCCGTCGTTCATGCAGGGGGCGCGTGGGTTTGCAGCGCCCCCTACATGAAAACGACGGAAAGTGCAGCGTTCATCACATAGATAAAGTTGTGCGCTTATATAAGAGTATTATTGTCCCTATGCGCGTATGTATATATGTGTACGTATATTTAGATATGTCTATGTAGATACAGTATGTGTATCTGTGTAGATATGACTATATATGGGGAGTGGTAGTGTAGTGGTTCGCACCCTGCGCTACTGAACCCGACGACCCGTGTTCGATTCCCGCTCATTGCCACCATGAGTGACAATTATCTGAACCGATCCTGAACCTCCCCGAGGTCGACTCAGCCTCAAACTGAGTACCTGGTGTGGTGTGTAAACATCGCCATGAGGAAGACAAAGGCGGTCGGGCATAGTGCTGGCCACCCACCCCCTCGTGTGCTGTGCCGGTCTTCATCGCTAACAGCACTTGCCCCAACAGTTTGTTAAGGCTATTCGGGGGACCTGTTGATTGACAACACGTAAATGTGGGGGGCAACCCCTCCAGCAATGAAAAATGATAGAGGAGTTGTTAGTAAGTAAGGACTTACTTTTTATTCGACTCGTGTGCGGCGATGCACAGACATCGATCGAGGGTCGAATTCGAACCGTGTGTGATCGGCATCGCACTCGCTGAAGGTGTTTGCCTTCAGGGAAGTCATGTACTGTATACGCAACTGCGCACAATTCTGTGAGTCACTTATAACTGCTTTGCCGTTGCTTATTACCAATTATGGACTCAGACTATTGTCCTATGATCTCATAGAATCCCTGGCACATAATAATATGCTATACAGTGGCAGTGGGGGTCGCAAAATGCCGATTTATTACTAATAAACCCCAATGATCCGATCGAAATTAAGGATTTCGATGGGATCATTGGGGAGGGGGAACGTGCCACCCCCCCCCCCCCACTGGCTCCGCCAGTGATTCTGCGTATACAGTATATCAGTATATGTGCCTTGTTAGTCTTCATAGGCGCTCAAAAAATTGTGTAGAGTTTACGGGGAATCTTTGTCTATGTATATGTGTATTCTTAGTGTGTATGTCTAAGACTGTTTTATAAGCTACTGTCTGTATGAGTGCATCTCAGTGTGTGTATGAATCTATGAATAGCTCCCTCTCCATCTGGACACAGTGTGACGGGCTGACCAGGGACAGTCATCGCAGGAGCGCACATGGCAGAGAGATTAGGGCACCGCGCGATGATGGGGATGATGAGGACGATTATTGGCACAGACATTCCCTCTACACAAATTAACGCGACAACAAAGTAACACATCAAATACACGCAGATACAATAACAACATCCGACATTCACCACCAACTGGCGGTGTCGTTACCACAACGCTTGTGCCAGGCTAGGTGCATTTTGAGACCACGTGAATGTCGAATATTGACTTGCAGGTCACTAACCCAGATGTATTAGGTTTACAGACTGAGATGGCTGGCCAACTTGCTGCGTTTTATCCACCCGGCGCTTCACCCGTTGTTGTGAGCGTCGCTCCACCCACCTACTGCCTCCAACTGCCCAGTAGCGTCCTTCACGAGCCTTCTCCTCCACAGAGGTCGATCTTGACACCGCTGGTACCAGTCATCGGCAAGTCCACTCAGCTCCACTTCCTCTCTTACCACAACTCTCCAGCCCGTGCCGCTCCCATTTAGCCACCGCTATCCGGCCACACATAAGCTGCTTGGCCATGCTAACTCTACTATAGTTACGTAATTAATTATTTATGCTTCTCTACCCAGGAAAGCCTTACTTAGTCTCGACTCTTTTCCAGGAGGGGTCTGCCACGTTGTTGCTGTAGGTGGCGATGCTGTTGCTGTGTGTAAACCCAATTTAATTATTTGCTGGTAAATTTTCAGCATTGGGATGTTTTTGGGCCAATGCGGGTTACAGTGTGTTCTGTTTTTCAACTATGGGCAGAAATCGGAGAACCCGGAGAAAACCCATGCAAGACAGGGGGGGGGGGGGGGACATACACACTGAACACGTAGAGAGGCGGCCGAGTCGGGAACTTTCTTGCTGTGAGGCACGAGAGTTATCACTGCGCGCCAGCCGCGACTCGGACAACGCCACTGACAGCTGCTGCTGCGGCCACAGATGCTGCTGCTGCGGCCACAGATGCTGCTGCTGCGGCCACAGATGCTGCTGCTGCTGTGGCCACAGATGCTGCTGCTGCTGCTGTGGCCACAGATGCTGCTGCTGCTGCTGTGGCCACAGATGCTGCTGCTGCTGCTGTGGCCACAGATGCTGCTGCTGCTGTGGCCACAGATGCTGCTGCTGCTGCTGCTGTGGCCACAGATGCTGCTGCTGCTGCTGTGGCCACAGATGCTGCTGCTGCTGTGGCCACAGATGCTGCTGCTGCTGCTGTGGCCACAGATGCTGCTGCTGCTGCTGTGGCCACAGATGCTGCTGCTGCTGTGGCCACAGATGCTGCTGCTGCTGCTGTGGCCACAGATGCTGCTGCTGCTGCTGTGGCCACAGATGCTGCTGCTGCTGTGGCCACAGATGCTGCTGCTGCTGTGGCCACAGATGCTGCTGCTGCTGTGGCCACAGATGCTGCTGCTGCTGTGGCCACAGATGCTGCTGCTGCTGTGGCCACAGATGCTGCTGCTGCTGTGGCCACAGATGCTGCTGCTGCTGTGGCCACAGATGCTGCTGCTGCTGTGGCCACAGATGCTGCTGCTGCTGCGGCCACAGATGCTGCTGCTGCTGCGGCCACAGATGCTGCTGCTGCAGATGCTGTTCCGCGCCGTGTCCACGCGGCGGCGCTACGTGCGAAGTGTTCCCCGCCGCGACGTGGCGATACGACGATATCCCACTACCATACGATATCATCCACGATAATCGCAAAATAGCGTCAAATAGTGATTATTGTTTCTCTTTATTTGTTAAATGTCATTTTATTCCAAAACTAAACATATATTTAATCACAAAGGGCAATCACATTCACCAACAATAATTTTGAACTTGTGGCCCTTTGTAATAATTGTATTGTTATCGTGCGACTTGACAGCGGTCGCCGCTATAGGCGCTGGCGAGTGTAAACCAGCGCCGGGCGTGTGATGAGTTTCACGGCGGACTTACAGAATCAGAATCAGAAAGGGTTTTATTCGCCATGGAAGTTCACACCGACACGGAATTTACTTTGGCAGGATGGTGCATACATTCAACATATAGGAATCTAAAATCTTAAATAAGTTTTAAACAAGTCTTACTATAATAATAAGGGTTAAAAGTCTAACTAACACCAAGGGGCTGAAGTATATAAAATTGAATAAATATCGAATATAAAATAGCTTTAAGATATAATTTAAAAATACAAATAGGTTAACATAGTTAATATCGGCAAGGTGTCATTATGTAGATAAAATGTTAAAATCAGTGTAAGCCCTTGGCCTTGTTTAACAGGCCAGCAGCAGATGGGAAGAAACTGTTTTTATGGCGTGAGGTTTTGGTCCTGATGGACCGAAGCCTTCTGCCGGAGGGGAGTAGCTGAAACAGAGGGTGTCCAGGGTGGGAGGAATCGGCCACAATCTTCCTCGCTCGCCTCATGGTCCTTGTCGTGTGCAGGTCCTCGAGGGTTGGTAGATTGCAGGCAATTACCTTCTCGGCAGTGTGGATGATACGCTGCAGTCTGCTCTTGTCCTTGGCAGTGGCAGCAGCGTACCAGACGGTTATGGAGGAGGTGAGGATGGATTCAATGATCACTGTATAGAATTGCACCATCATTGTCTTTGGCAGGTTGAATTTCTTCAGCTGCCGTAGAAAGTACATCCTCTGTTGAGCTCTCTTGGTGAGGGAGCTGATGTTCAGTTCCCACTTGAGGTCCCGGGAGAGAATAGTGCCCAGGAAGCGGAAGGACTCTACAATTTTGACTGGGGAGTCTAACAGGGTGATGGGGGTGAGTGGGGCTGTATTCTTCCTGAAGTCCACAACCATCTCAACTGTCTTTAGAGCATTTAGCTCTAAGTTGTTCTGGCTACACCAGGTCACCAGGTTGTCAGCTTCCCACCTATAGTCAGACTCATCCCCACCAGAGATTAGCCCAATGAGGGTGGTGTCGTCCGCAAACTTCAAAAGTTTGACGGACAGATGATTGGAGGTGCAGCTGTTGGTATACAGGGAGAAGAGCAGTGGGGAAAGGACGCAGCCCTGAGGAGTTCCGGTGCTGATGGACCTGGAGTCAGAGACTTGTGTTCCCAGCTTAACGCACTGCTTCCTGTCAGACAGGAAGTCTGTGATCCACCTGCAGGTGGAGTAGGGCACGTTCAGCTGGAAGAGCTTGTCCTGAAGCAGGGCAGGGATGATGGTGTTGAAGGCAGAGCTGAAGTCCACAAACAGGATCCTGGCGTAGGATGCTGGGGCGTCCAGATGCTGTAGGGTGAAGTGGAGGGCCATGTTAACTGCGTCGTCCACAGACCTGTTGGCTCTGTAGGCAAACTGAAGGGGGTCCAGGAGAGGGTCTGTGATGGCTTTGAGGTGTGCCAGGACCAGGCGCTCAAAAAACTTCATTACCACAGATGTAAGGGCGACCGGTCTGTAATCATTTAGTCCTGTTGGCCTTAGCTTTTTAGGCACAGGGATGATGGTGGAGGACTTGAGACAGGCTGGTACATGGCATGTCTCCAGGGAGGTGTTAAAGATCTTGGTGAACACCGGAGACAGCTGGTCAGCGCAGTGCCTGAGGGTGGCTGGAGAGACAGAGTCCGGCCCGGCTGCTTTGCGTGGATTCTGCCTCTTGAAAAGTCTATTAACTTCTCCCTCCTGAAAGGAGAGAGTCGTCTCTGTAGTATGGGTGGGGGATGGGGCCTCTTGGGTGGGAAGGGGTGGTTCAGGACAGTCCAATTGCCTTTGAAATCTACAGTAGAACTCGTTCAGGTCGTTGGCTAGGCGGGAGTCGTTAGTGGTGTGGGGGGCTCTGGGTTTGTAGTTGGTGATCTGCCTGAGCCCTCTCCAGACAGAAGCAGCGTCGTTAGTAGAGAACTGGTGTTTTAGTCTCTCTGAGTACAGTCGTTTAGCCTCTCTCACCGCTTTGCTAAACCTGTTCTTCGACTCCTTGAATCTGTCTCTATCCCCACTCCTAAACGCTTCCTCCTTCTCCAACCTCAACCTTCTGAGCTTTGCTAAGAACCAGGGCTTGTTGTTGTTAAAGTTCACCCTGGTACGTGTTGGGATACAGCAGTCCTCACAGAAGCTGATGTAGGACATCACAGCCTCTGTGAGTTCATCCAGACTATTGGTAGCAGTCGTGAACATATCCCAGTCAGTACAGTCTAAGCACGCCCGCAAATCTTCCACAGCCTCACTGGTCCACTGTTTAGATGTCCTCACAGCAGGTTTACAGAGTTTTAGTTTCTGCCTGTATGCAGGAATCAGGTGGATCATTGCATGGTCAGAGTGTCCTAGTGCTGCTCGGGGGACGGCGTGGTAGGCTCTACAGCGAGTGAATTGCAGTTGCAGAGCATTTCAGTAAATCTCTATTCGTGCCGGGAGGAGAACAGCGAGTCACAACACAGTACGGTACAATAATTAAACTAGCGAGATTCAATTAGAAAGCTTAGGAAAACCAATATCGCGATAATCGAATTTATAGAGCGCCTTCACTCAACGCGCTGGACGTAACCTACAAAACGATGATGGAATAGAATGACTTCTATATGACAGGGACATACGACAAGGAATGAGTGACAGCGCTAGAGGGCACGTCGGGATGACGAAAGGGCTCTAGGGGAGGGAAGATGAAGAAAATGGGCAATGGAGAAGAGGTGAGAGATTAAGCGAGGAACGAAAGGTGAACGTTCATCATCACATTGTGTTGCCAACATCTGGATGACAAAGTGGATAACCATACGGCTCCTTCACACTGCATTCATGTATCCCACGTAAAGGGTTGTGCCTCCTCTAGGTTTACTCAGTTTTGAATTAGCCTTTCAACGAGTATACTTTGCAGTGTACGAAAATTATTGAAATCAGCACTAAGGAGACAGAGGCTGCCTGCCAGGCGTGGTGCTTTATAATCACCGGGCGTTAATAGGTGCTCGCTGACAGCGCTTAACCCAACCTGGTTGTGTGGCCGTGTAGTGTGTACTGTACAGCTGTGTGTGTGTCGGCTGCTGTGTCATAGTGCAGAGTGCGGGCTCTGTGTCTGTTTCGATAGCGGTTCCGCGTGTGCCCGCTGGCTGTATGACGTGGCCATGTGTGTGTCAAGAGCGGCACTGTTGGCTCTCAGCCTGGCTGTTGTGTAGGGGGAGCGGTGGCGCAGTGGTTAGCGAACTGCACTACGAACCCGACCAGTCCGAGTTCGATTCGGGCTCACGGACAACATCGGCGATGAATATCTGAAATGGTCCTGGGCCTCCCCGAGGTCGACTCAGCCTTAAAATGAGTACAGTACCTAATGCGGTGTGTAAACATCAGAATTGGGGAGACAAAGGTGGTCAGGCATCGTTCTGGCCACGCCAACCCATCGTGTGCCGTGCCCCAACAGTCTAGTCAAGGCTATGCGGGACATGTTTGCCTTTGTTTGTGTCTTTGTGTAATGTCTGTAACTATCAGCACCGAAAGAGCCAAACCAAGATCCCTGGGTTTGATCTTCCACGAAGATGATCGTCCACCCTAAACCGCATCCGCACAAACCATGGCAGGTGCAGATACCTGACACACAAACGGGAAATTAAAAACTCTGCAGTGGTCAAGGTGCGACTGTGGCCATCCAGAACCGACCGTACAACACAGAACGAAGCAATGCCCGATCCACAACTACAACGGAGACGTCACAGGGACACACTGCGCTGCTGCTGCTGACGCGGTTATCTCGCTCAGCATCGACATCAGCGGCCATAGGAAATAACAAGCGGATCAGCACCGGGGAGACAAAGGCGGCCGGGTGTGGTGATGGCCACCCACCCCCGCCTGTGCCGTGGCGGTCTTCATCGGTGCTACTCGCCAACATAACTTTGCCCCAACAGCCTGATAGAAAGTTGTATGAGGGGGGAAGCTATGGCTTTGTGTTGTCTTTATAAACATCAGGACCAGGGAGACAAAGGCGGCCGGGCGTGGTGCTGGCCACACGCCCCCACCGCGTAACGGCGCGCGCCGCTGTGCGGGCCACGCCCCCACCCAGGGGGGAGGAGGGGGGTTGCGTTTCCCCACTAAACAGAAGCGGTCGCCTCTTCTACTCCACGCTCGCTCTTCCACCTCCTCCTCCTCGAATTCGAGTCATAGCGCGCCCTGCCCGCACGAAGCCCCATCGCGACATGGCGAGGTGAGCACAGAGTGAGTGAGAGGCGGGCTGGATAGCCCCCCTCCACTCCTCTCTCCTCTCAACCCTCGCCCCCGCGCTCCCTCCGCTCGCTCCGGTCACTGCGCATTTCGGAATCCGGGGCTGAAGAGGAGAGAGGCGTTGCGTAACGGGGGGCGGGGGGGGGCACATTCCTAGTGGAGGGAGACGTGACGCGAGAGTAGGGGGCCCGAGAGTTGAGTGATGTAGGGCAGGAGTGAGAGATGGCGAGAGGGATAAATGGGTGCTGTAGGAGATCAGGGCAAGAGAGGTAAGGGGGTATCAATGGATGGAGAGGGGAGTCATGGATGAGGGAGGATGGAGAGGGATTGATGGATAATGGGTGGTTAGAGGGGGGTGGGGCCGTGTCCCGTTAACCTCGGGCCCAGATGAACCCCTAGTGGGGCCCTCAATAAGCAACGTGTTACCTTGTTGCCTCATGAGATAACGAGAGCCGAGTTACCACCCTCAGTAACGCGGCCGTGGCAGCGTGGAGTGCAGCAGGCAGGGTCAGAGACGGAGTGTAACGTTATCCATTCTCAATCCGCTGCTGGACGGGGGCCTGGCTGGCTCCCATCGTGCTGTGTACAGTGTACGTGTACAGTGTGCGTGCACATTGACCAAGGCGCATGGCCAGGTGGTTTGGTTTGTGGGGGGTCGTCATCGATACGAACTGGGGGCACAGCGAATGGCTACCCCCCCCCCCACACACCACTGCGCTTCCTGCCAATGCAACACGTGTTCAGTACAGTGTACACACAACACACACCTGTGTATTGTACAATACACGTGTACACACAAGACACGCGTACAGAATACACACACAAAGGTAATAAACACATAACAAACAGACACAGCACCCAATATATACGCACATGAACACTACCGTACATACAAACATACACCTCACCATTTTCTCAACACAGATTAATTATTTTTTTTATCACATACACACTCCACTCAAACAAATCTCACATAGAACCTCGCACAGAATCTCACACACTGACTCACCAACTCACACACTCACACAGACACTCACCAACTCACACAGATTCTCACTCACCAACTCACACAGACACTCGCTCACCAACTCACACAGACACCAACTCACACTCTTGCTCACCAACTCATTCTCTCGCTCACCAACTCACACACTCGCTCACCAACTCACACACTCACACAGACACTCACCAACTCACACACTCACACAGACTCTCACTCACCACCTCACACACTCACACAGACACTCACCAACTCACACAGACTCTCACTAACTCACACACTCACTCACCAACTCACACTCTCGCTCACCAACTCACACACTCGCTCACCAACTCACACACACAGACACTCACCAACTCACACAGACTCTCACTCACCACCTCACACACTCACACAGACACCAACTCACACACTCTCACTAACTCACACAGACACTCACTCACCAACTCACACAGGCTCACATACACTCGCACCCATCAAGTTTATCTCTTGGCAGCGCCTCCAGCACCACGTGGCTCGTGTTTTCGGCCCTGTGTGTTCCGTTTTGTTCTCTTTCGGCTTTTGTAATGAGTGAACTATTTATACTCCCAGCCCCATTACAACCGCGGGGAGCTGAGTTACCGCTGTAAATGCCGTGGCGTGCCGAGTTGGAGCGATTCTGGAGAACATTTTTATTTAACAGTAATGGAACTGGCTCACAAATAAAAAATGTTTGGTGACGAAACTCTTGTGACGCATGCAGCAGCGCTTTGTAGGTCAGCGTTGGTGGATCACGCCTAGATTTGTGAAACTCCCATCGTCCTGCCCACTAAGGTGGGCAGGACGATGGAAGTATAGCCACGTGGGTTCGAGAACCCTTATGTGCAGAGCGTTGTTATCTGCTCGTAATCTCTGGCTGCTCTGGCTTCCTCCCACACGAAGGAAAGAAAACACGCATAATTTTAAATAATTCGCTAAAAATCCTAATCTTACAGGCCCAAACATCCCCCAGTGTTTAGTCGTAGCAAGACCCTCCTGACTGAGCCTTGTAATGGATGACTCAACCCTTCTCCATGACGCCAAATTATGATTACAGTGGTACCCCGGAGATCGAACTTAATTCGTTCCAGAAGGCCATTCGAACACCGATTTGTTCGAACACCGAATTCATTTTCCCCATAAGAATTCATGTAAATGACATTAATTGGTTCCAGACACAAAAAATCTCTCATAAAGCATTTTTACACAAATTTTACAGTAATTACATGCATAAAACCATACAAAAAAACAAGATACACAAAAAAATGGAATAAATATATGGAATAAATGAAATAAATGAACATTGAACTTCACTTTACCTGTAGTAAGGAGAGTTTATGGCTTGAGTGGAAGATGGTGGTGTTATTGTTTGGAAGGGGAGTCCCCTTCCATAATAACGTCGGGTAACTGCCTTTCTGGGATTCTTTTTCTTTTGTGCCTCTTGTCTGCCACTAACTGTGAGTCACTTGAGCTCTTTCTGACTAGAAACTTATCTAAAGAGGTTTGTTTCTGCCTCCGTCTGTGGATGTTTCGAAAATGACACATTGCATTATCATTAAAAGATTGCTCACTCGGTTGGCTACTGCCTTATCTGGGTGATATTTTCTACAAAATTCTGTAACTCAACCCATTTGGCACACATTTATTTTATCACTGAACTAGGGGCATCATCCCTTCCTCCTCCTCTGAAGACATTTCCTCAACTACCATCTGTTGCTGCTACTTCTGAAGGTCTTGGAGTTCCTCAGTGGTGAGCTCTGTGCTGTGGTCCTCCACCAACTCCTCAACATCATCATCAACGTCCAAGCCCATGGACTTGCCTAGAGACACAATGTTCTCGACCACAGGCTCAGTCTCAAGGCTCAAAGCCTTCAACATCCCTCTCTGCTACACAGTCTGGTCACAACTTCCTCCAGGCAGAGTTCAGTGTTCTGGAAGACACTTCTCCCCAGGCTTTGTTGATGAGACTTAGACAGTGCAAAATGTTAAAATGGTTCTTCCAGAACTCTCCGAGTGTTAACTCAGTATCAGAGGTGACTTCAAAGCACCTTTGAAAAAGTGCTTTGGTGTAGAGCTTCTTGAAGTTGGAAATGACCTGCTGGTCCATGGGCTGGATGAGAGGAGTCGTCCAAGCCTGGAGGGTGAGCAGGTGCATTGTCCATGAGGAGGAGGACCCTAAGTGGTAACTGCTTCTCCTGGAGGTATTTTTTAACACTAGGCCCAAACACCTCATGAACCCACTCAATAAAACATTGCCTGGTTACCCAGGCTTTACTGTTGGCCCTCCACATCACATTCAGCTTGTTCTTTATAACACTATTTTTCTTGAACACCCTGGGGTTTTCGGAATGGTAAACAAGTCGGGGCTTGACCTTAAAGTCCCTACTAGCATTCCCACACAGCAACAGAGTTAGCCTATCCTTCTTAGGCTTATGCCCCGGCAAGACCTTCTCCTCCTGGGTGATGTAGGTCCTCCTTGGCATTTTTTTTAAAAAGAGGGCCTGTCTCATCACAGTTGAAAACGTGTTGGGGAATAAAGCCCTCACCCTCCACGAACTCTTTAAATTCCCCAACAAAATTCTTGGCACCTTCTTTATTAGCACTGGCACCCTCCCCATGCCTTACGACACTATGTATGCCACTTCTCTTTTTAAATTTATCAAACCAGCCTCGGCTAGCCTTGAAAATGTCACTAGGACCTGCATCATCACTCGCTCCTGGTGTGTTTTCGAGGATGTCTGAATGCAACTGCTCGACCTTTTCACAATATCATAGCCTCTGAAATGATATCACCCGCCAACTGTTTTTCGTTGATCCAAATCAACAGCAATTTCTCAACCTCCTCAATGGCCTTAGTTCTTTGTTTAGATAGAGATGACACTCCTTTGGCTACATTAGCTTGTTTAATGGCTTCTTTATTTTTCAGTATCGTGCAGATCGTCGATTTCGGCATACCGTAATGTTTGGAACTCTCGGTCACGCGGACACCTCTCTCTGCCTTTGCAATGATCTATTTTCTTAATTCTATCGTGGTTCTCACGATAGAATTTTCCTTTTTGGCTTATCACTACCACTGACCTTCTTAGGAGACATTGTTTATGGATAAACACCAAAAAACACTGAAATAAAGGAAATTAACGAAAAAGTTAAGGAACGATGTTTTGCGGGTCTGTACTGGGTGAGAGCTACGCGTTAGCTGAGCCTCTCACATGGCAAAACCTTTGTCTGGGAAAGCGTCGTGCACACTGGCCATACGCGTCTCAGCCGTACAGGTTCTTTCAAGTCGCGATTGCCGTTCGACCTCCGAATTTCGTTCGGTTTCCGTGGCAAAAAATGTTCGGAAATATCGTTCGAACACCGACTTGTTCGAGTGCTGATGCATTCGATCTCCGAGGTTCTACTGTACTCTACTATACACACAGCCGTTCTGGGCACGCATTGTCCTAATCTCTTGGCACATACTGAGACCAGGTGAGGTACGGTTGCATTGACCTGGCAGGTGACGGAGGGGCCAGCAGGGCGACACTAGGACCCACATTCCAAAGCCCCTGGGTGGGTCGCTACCTGCCCCCCCTCACCTGCCCCTCCATGAGGCATGTAACGATTAATCAATTAAAATCAATTCTGGGCCAGAGAAGACGGTGCATGTCCAAACGTACAAGTGGGGTGGTACACAATACAAATGAGAAGGAGCGGAGGGAGAGTAACTTAACCTGCAAGACAAAGAGCGTGGATTATTCTTCTCCCGTCAGGATTCCTCGCCAGTCACCATCTCACTCTACGCTCCCACGCCCGTGCTCCCCACCTACACCCACCCGCACTGACCTACGTGGTGAAGTATGGTCGATGAACCACCACGACCCGATACATTTTTCACAATATTCTCAGGGCTACAGAAACGTAGGGAAATATGAATGCGTCCGAGAGGACACCCACAAAAGATGGAGCAATGTAAATCAGCACGTGTGTAGGGGCTGGGTGAATTATCGAGTCTCAGGATCATGACGTGTGGTGATAGCTTGGGGAGACCTTCATCCAACAGTGAATTGACCATGGCTGCTGCAGATGAATTATGTTGTCGCTGGTAGAGTGGAGTGGGTGACACATGACGAGTAGTAGCCACAGCCATAGCGAGTGGTCTACTGGATCTGGTGTGCCGGCCACGGAACTATTTTCCAGTTGCCGATCCAGACAATCCCGACTGAAATAAAGCCATGGTTGCAGGTATTCGTTTTATCATCATCATCTATATATAAAAGGGAAGTTTGTGAATGTGTCTGTTCGAAATGTTTAGCATACTTCCCAACATGCAACAAACTTGAAATTTGGCATGTGGGTAGCTTCCAGGCTGTACACAATGCAAAAAGTATAAAAATAGACTTTTGTATTTTGGGTGGGGGGGGGGGCGCAATAATGGATATATTTTGCACGGCAAGTGAGCGGTGACGTCACATCTGTGATGTCACCGCATGCGGCAGCGTTACGCAGGGTACCTGCTGACGTCACGCATAACCCCCCCACCCTCCGCGTAGGCCGTGTATTGATCCAAGAAAATAATCCAAGTGTTGGGCGAAGCCGGGTAGTAAAACTAGTTGGTTATAAACCAATGGCCTAGCATTAGGGTTAGAGTCGGGTTTGGGCTCAGAGTTATGTAATGGCCGAGGTTTGAGATAGGTGCATTGAAAAATTTGATACTCCGACTGATGCTTCTGTTGTTGTGGAGTAACTCATGCAGCAAGCTTTGGCTCTAGGATTTGGTGTTACATGTTATTTATGTAGTTTATTGTAAAAATTCGGTCACAGTCCCTGTGATCACTGTTGCGTTGCAATTATGGCTTTATTTTTTGGGTGATTTCGAAAAGTTTTTTGGTTTGGACATGTTTGTTTTGTTGTAGACTGATGGCCTTAATCTAAGTTTTCTTGTGGTTATTGTTGTTTGACTTGCATCCCACTGGGATTTTTTTGCACACAGCGTTGGTGTACGCTGTTTTTTTCATGGATTTTCTGTTTGCACGGTCACATAGTCACTTTAAGATGTTTTTCTTGTTCGTATTTTTGTTTGTTGTGCACCCGATTCAAGAGCCAATGGCTCACAGGGCTATACCAAAAATAAATAAACTGAAAAAAACAATGTGTGCAATTCACGACATTTGTTTAATAAGAGAAAAGTATCCATTCTTACGTGTCCCGTCTCTGTGTTACGATTGTGTGCAAAGGACGTGCCTCTTTGTCTCCGCTGTTGTCTCCTCCATTGCCCTGCTTCTACGTTGCCCCGAGTGTTTTACAACAGCCAGGTGTGTAATTGTCACGGCGCGCCGCTATCGTTGTGTCGCTGCTATCTCTATCTCGGTGCTGTGCGTGCATGCGGTGACACTGTAGGGCTCGTGTGTCATATTATCAGTGGCTCTACATAAAGTACAGGGCAGGTGAATGTACAGGTACACGGCGGCGCTGACTGAACCATGGCCTCCAGCTACATGAGCCATATCTTCTCGTGTAACAGGAGGCGCTGTGTGTGCCTACATCTTTGTTTGTGTGCCTACATCTCTGTTTGTGTGTCTTTGTCTTTGTGCCTGGGTCATGTAGCCCGCATGCACAGCCACCGCATGCCCAAGCAACTTCTGTTTGGCTGGATAGAGGGAGCTAAAGGGGCACGGCACGGGCTGAAGATTGATGCGGTACAGGAGGATGTGGAGCTGAGTGGACTTGCCGAAGACTGGTACCAGCGGTGTCAAGATCGGCCTCTGTGGAAGAGGCTCATGGAGGACGCTACTGGGCATTCAGAGGCAGGCGCCCTCCAGCTACAACGGAGGGTAGAGGAGCGACGCTCAGAAAAATGAGCGGAGGTCTGGGCGGCTAAAATGCAGAAAGTTGGCAGATTAGGGGGCATAGTTGGTGCATCTCATCTCAGTCGGTAAACCCATGGAACCTGATCCTGTCCCGTGACCTCTTGTCAGCGAGCCTTCGAAACTTTGCTGTTTTTTCCTGGATTTTTCTGTTGCGCGTAGTCACTTCAAGATGTTTCTTGTTCATGTTTTTGTTTGTTGCGGTTGCACCCGATTCAAGAGCCGCATGGCTCATAGGGCTATACCTAATAAATGAAACTGAAAATTGAAACTTCACGTAACATCGGAGTGCATCTGACTTGGCACAAGCACCGTGGTGATGTCACCACCACTTAGTGGCGAATGGCGGCCATTGTTGCTGTACCTGTGTATTCCCGTGCCCATACGTGTTCGTATAAGCACGTATTCGCACGTGTTTGTGTAACCACGTGTTCGCACGTGTGTTTGTGTAACCACGTGTTCGCACGTGTGTTTGTGTAACCACGTGTTCGCACGTGTTTGTGTAACCACGTGTTCGCACGTGTGTTTGTGTAACCACGTGTTCGCACGTGCGTTTGTGTAACCACGTGTTCGCACGTGCGTTTGTGTAACCACGTGTTCGCACGTGCGTTTGTGTAACCACGTGTTCGCACGTGTGTCTGTGTAACCACGTGTCCCCGCAGCACTGGAGCGAGTGAGCGCGAGCTGCAGGAGGTGATGAGTGCGCTGTGGGACGCGGATGTGAACCGCCTCAAGCCAGGGAGAGACTACGCCATCGACCTCCAGGTGCAGCAGGGACCCCAGCCAACACCGTGGCGTGGTTGGGTGTGGCAGCTGAGTTGTTGTGTTTAATGGCTGCTCTGTGGTACTGTGGTTGTACTGTGAACGTGGTTGTACCGTGGCTGTGTGGTTACACTGTGGTTTTGTTGTGGTTGTGCGGTAGGGACGCGCAGGCTATGTGCCCACGGGGAGTAACTCTGCCAGGGACTGCGCTGTAAGGCCGCTTTTCAAATTCGTGGACGAGGGACGCTTGCACGGCATCGAGACGTTCAGACGTGGGTCTCCCTGATCCCCCCTTTTACCCCTGGTCCTCCTGTCCTTGGTCCCCATCCTCTTCATTTAGTTCCTTCATTTGATTCACAATTCTTCCTGATTCCCAACTAGAGGCTGACTGAAATTCGGTTTCGGCGCCGAAAGTTGGCAAATGGCCTCTTTCCGCATAGTTTCAGTTTCGGCCGAAAGTCAATTTACAACTTTCAGTTTACTTTCGGTTTCGGCCGAAAGTCAATTTTTTACTTTCGGTCTGGTTTTGTTTTCGGCTGAAACCAGAAATTCAGTTTCGGTTGACCTCTAAACTACACACGCGCGCATGCGACTCCGTGCAGCGGCGGCGGCGGTGGTTGATGGCAGACGCTCCTCACTCTCTCCGGCGATCGCAAGCAGCGCACGCATGCACACTCAAGCAAGGATGGGGGTGAGAGGGGTGTGGTGGTGGTGGTGGTGGTGGTGGGGGGGAATAAGACAGACGACGGAGAAGAATGAGAAAAAAATTACTTCCCCAAAACCACCAAACTAGCGAGCAGCAGCAGAACCAAGCAGCACACGCGTAGCCAGCACTCACAGCAGCAGCAAGCAGCACACACGTAGCCAGCACACGCAGCAGCACACGCGTAGCCAGCACACGCAGCAGCAAGCAGCACACACGTAGCCAGCACACGCAGCAGCACACGCGTAGCCAGCACACGCGTAGCCAGCACACGCAGCAGCAAGCAGCACACACGTTGGCAGCACTCTCAGCACACGCAGCAGCAAGCAGCACGTGTGTAGCCAGCACTCGCAGCAGCAGTCCACCAGGAGCACTTTTGTTTGAGCGGCTCAGAGGCTGGGCTCTCACAGGCAGCTCGAGGCACGTACCACACACACACACACGCGGGCGCACGCACAGCACACTGAGCAGATTATAGCAGCGTGCTGATGCCAACAGTGTGCATACGTGCGCACGCACACTCACTCACTCATCCGCCCACCAGCTACACACACACCGACCCACCCACCCCTCCAATGGTCCAATTCAACCCTCCCACCACCCCATCCCACCCCACCTCCTCCTCCACATGGGTTTCACACAGCAGGAGGGGGCTTGGGTGTCCGTGCACGCGAGTCTGTGACGCGTCTAGAAGCCGACCCCAAATTCGGTATCGGTTTCGGCGCCGAAAGTTGGTAAATTGGCTTCTTTCGGCATAGTTTCTGTTTCGGCCGAAGCCAAAAAGTTAACTTTTGGTTTACTTTCGGTTTTGGCCGAAAGTCAATTTTTAACTTTCGGTCTGGTTTCGTTTTGAGGCCGAAACCAGAAATTCAGTTTCGGTCGGCCTCTATCCAGAACCCACTGCTCCATCTGATCCTAACTCCTCTCCCTAATTATTCCTCCTCCTCCCCTCTCCTCCTCCCTCCTACCCTCTCCCACCCCCCCATTTTATGCTGCCTCTTAGACATTGCTTGCATTTGGCAGTGTGCGGTTGTGGTTGCGATGATTATTGCGGTTGTGGTTGTGGTGGTTGTGTGTGGCAGTGTTCCTGTCACTGCTGGACAACTACGAGTCGTCCACGGGCATCGCGGAGACGGTGACGGCGGAGGAGGAGGCTGAGAACCGGCACTTCCTGGATGCAGTCACGCAGACCGGCGTCATGCAGGTGTGGTCACGCACAGTCATGTACACGTGCACCCACGTGCTCCTGACCCTATTTCCCCGTGTCCACCTGTCCCCATGTCACTCTATCCTCATGACCCAATATCTCTGTGTCCCCATGTCACCATGCCCTCTTGTCCTCATGGTCCAATCTCCTCTTGTCTCCATGTCTTCATGTTCTCTGTCCCTCTCTCCCTGTGTCCCCATGCTTCTGTTTTCCTATGTCCCCTTTTCCCCATGTCCTTGTGTTCACCTGTTCCCATGCCCTAATGTCTGTGTATCCCCATGTCACTGTGTCCCTGTGTCCCCGTCAGATTGCGCACAAGTTCCTGGCGGAGAGGGGTCTCGCTGACCGTAGCCCCGAGGGGTTCAAGCGGCAGCTCTACTCCATCTGGTTCCAGCTCTACTCTCGCGATAACTACCGGTACCGTGCTTATCTCCCCGCCTACCATCACTCCTTCATCCCTCACTCGGTATCCACAGGACTAATAGTAGCCACGGCCATGACGAGAGGTATAGTGGATGAGCTGTGTCGGGTGCAGAAATATATTCCAAATTGCCGACCCAAACAGAACCGGCTGAAATTAATCCCGGGTTAAAATCGATATTTAAGTTCGGGACGCGTGCATGGTGTCACGTGCTTCAGAACCCATTATTTATGACTGATGCAAATTGGGTTTAGGGATCGGTGGAACACTGGTTAGCACACTGTGCCATGAACCCAGTGACCTGATGAGTTAAGTTATCAGCCACGGCTCACTTCAATGGTAGTGAGACATTGACTGGCCTTAATAGGTGCCCGCTAATGGCACTTTCCCCAAAAGTTTGTATGTCTGCTCGCATGTGTACATGCTTGGTTAGCGCGCTGCACTATTATCCCGGCGACCTGAGTTCAAGTCCTGATTGAGACCAATAACAGTTGCAAATATCTGAACTGGTCCTGGGCCTTCCCTAGGTCGACTCAGCCTTAAATGAGTGTCTAGTGCAATGTGTAAACGTCAGCACTGGGCAGACAAAAGCGGCCAGGCATGGTGTTGGCCACCCACCCATCCCTTCGTGTGGCGTGCTGGCCTTCATAGGTGCTACTCACTAACTGCACTTACCCCAAAAGTTAACTAAAGCTATACTTCGGGATCTTTGTCGTTGTGCCGGTGCATATGCACAAGCTCGCGTGTGTGCTCATGTGCGCGCCGGTGCGTGTGTATGTACGTGTAGCGGGGACTCGTCAGGCTTCGAGCACGTGTTCGTGGGGGAGACACGGCGTGGTGCCAACATCCTGGGCTTCCACAACTGGGTGCAGTTCTACCTGCAGGAGAAACACGGCCACGTGGACTACAAAGGATACAAGGCCCAACGCAGCAGCCGGGTACGCAGAGGGGGGTCCCCTATGTACAGGGGGTCCCCTACGTACACGGGGTCCCCTACAACATCAAGGGTGTTCCACACTTAGGGGTCTTTGACGCAGGAGGCCCCTTGCACAGAGCACTTGTGCAACCACAGAGAAATAAGGTTATGGCTAAGGTTCTGCGCAGGTGAGGAGGTATGAAGGTGAGCTGTGTAGGTGAGAACAAAGGTGAGCTGTGCAGATATTACATGCAGGTGAGGCACAAATTGTAACAACTGGTCAAAGCCATGCGATGTGAGATATCAAGGTGGGCCATGAAGCTGAGGCATCGGAGTTAATTGTGCAGGAGAGGTATCAAAGTAACCCATTAACCTTCCTGCACCCCACTCCCTCCCCCTTCCTTCCCCACCCCTCCACAGCCGGATGACCAGGACCACCTGTTGACGCTGCAGTTCAGCTGGAAGGGGGTGGTGAAGCCCATGGGCAGCTCGTTCATCGGCGTGTCGCCAGAGTTTGAGATGGCGGTCTACACGGTGTGCTTCCTGCTGTCGCGCGAGCGCTCCTCCACCTACGCCATGCGCCTCGACGAGTACAGTGTGCGCCTCGAGTGCCATCGCCAGGGCAACCGCATCGGCAGCTCCTACCCGGTGCTGCTCGCCAGCAACCTGGCCTAACGGCCTAGCATAGCGGCCTGGCGGCGGGCAGAGACATGGAATCCGGGCACGCATTATTATTTTTGTTATTATAATCTCTATGCTTGTTTACCCAGGAAAGTCTTGCTGAATCTGAAGAATGTTTTTTCAGGAGGGCCCTGCCAAGTTTTCTGCATAGGTGGCGATGTTGGTATGTGCAATCCTAATTGAGTAATTTGAAAGGAAGTTTTTTTTAGCATTGGGATGTTTGGCCATTACCTGTTACATTGAGAACCCAAAGGAAACCAATGCAGAACAGAAGAAGATACAGAGTCCACGCAGAAAAGTGCTCGAGTTGGAAATCAAACCCAGGCCCTTCTTGCTGTGAGGAACAAGTGTTACCACTGCGCCACCACCCTATCAACCGGTGCGTCTTCAGGTCGTACCGCGTCTTGGTCGGCACAATGTCCGTTTCATTTCACGTTCTGGGAGCTTCAGAGCTTTAGTTCTGTTTCCGAGGAAGGTCTCGGCATGTGCTGCGAAACGTCAGACATGCCGAACAACATGCGATACAACCCAAAAATGCATAGGAGAGCTATTTGTCATCGTCATTAGCAGGGCTTAAACTCCCAATGAATATGTTTCTGGGTCACTGGCAGGCTCCAGTAGTCGGCACGTGACTGGTATCCAATGCAGCCCATAGCGAGAGTTATGATGGATGTGGTGTCCTGGACGCCAAAATATTATTTGGCTTGGTTGTCTGCCATTGTTCCTGCACGGGTTCCCAAATTGCAGTGCCTCTGTGCGTTCACCAACCTCATGCTGCCCAATTCGCAGTTTGTTTTGAGCTGCATACATACGCTGTGGTAAACGTGCCGAGCGCGACGTTACAGTGCTGATTCCTGTTTTTTATTTAGCTTTTTACACTCATGTATGCACACACACACATATAAACATACAGACACAAATAGAGAGTACATCGTCCATGTCCATCCTGAACGTGAATTGATGTCATCTCTGCAGTGGTCATCCTCTTGGGCAAATTATTTCCTTTGGCTGCCATTCCATCAAAAGTCTTGACCATAGGCCTTGATCATTCCATCTATGTGATGCCCTGCCCAAGCCCTCATTTAGAATCGATATGATTTGATCTCCTCTGCATTTGTTCCCTGGTTCATGTGCTCCCAGTTCAGTCAGTCTACTGCTGAGCATTATTTCATTCAATGTCATTATCAGTGTTATAATTTTGCTTGCTGTAGACAGAGTTGTGTGTGATTCATCTTCTTTGGTTCTTTCGGTAAAGTCACGTAGAATGAGAATAAAATAATAAATTGATAAAATAAAATAACACAATAATATTCTCACGACGTTTCGGCCACAACACAAGCGGCCTTCATCAGGTGAAGGGGGCGAGACTGTCTGGTAGGACAGGACAGCGCTGTCCTACCAGACAGTCTCGCCCCCTTCACCTGATGAAGGCCGCTTGTGTTGTGGCCGAAACGTCGTGAGAATATTATTGTGTTATTTTATTTTATCAATTTATTATTTTATTCTCATTCTACGTGACTTTACCGAAAGAACCAAAGAAGAGTTGTGTGTGTTAAAGGTCCATCAGTGGCTGGGGCTGTCTCTCTGGGGTATCGACCCTAGGTCTGTGAGTCCCATCGCCCCCCACAAAGACCCCCACCAATGTTTCTCGTCATCACTTCATCACTCCGTCCCGAGTGTTTTTATTTTGGCAAGACACGAAACAATAAAGTGCCTTAATTACACAGCGCCAGTCTTGTTACAATTCTCTCGTACGTCAGGGAGTGTACCAGCAATGTGTACATGTTCGTGTCTGTGAGTCGGTGGACTGCTGCAGGAGTAGTAACCAGGAGAATGAAGTATTGCCAGCGTGAACGCTTGGTGCGTGACACAGGGCAGCAGAGGGCGTGAGATGTATGTACAGCACTGTAGGAACTTCTTTCGCATCGTACGTAGTCAACCACGCTAATCGAAGGTGCGGGGGAAGGACAACAAACTTCAGTAAACACAAAAAGCAGTCTGAGCGTGAGAGGCGGTCGGTCTGGAGACGTGAAATTAGGTAGGCTGGTCGAGGGAGCTGGGGGAGAGTTGGAAGCTTCGAGTAATAACACTAACAAAAGTATATATTTTTTGTTCGCGGGTCATAAGTGTTATTTTCCAATTGTTCATGCTTCAAAAGTACAGAAAGTGGCTATTCTCCACAAACTTTGCTTTTGTGACCAGGACACAAAAGCAAAGTTAATAATCTACTCCATGAATAATAACACTAACAAATTTATGTTTTTGTTCCTGGCAAGTAAATGTTATTTCCTAATTGTTTATGCATAAAAAAGTACAGAAAATTGCTGCTATTATTCTCCACAAACTTTGATTTTGTAACCAGGACAGTGATTTTAAAATTAACCTATTTTCAATGAGAAAACGTCTGCATTTTGAAAATAACACTACCCAGGAACAAAAATCGTGTTACATAGTGTAATTAATTAAATATGGGTGGTGTTGAGTGTAAATTTGAGATGTAACTATATCTCAAATTGACACTTTTTAATTGGTCGAGTGGAAGCGATATTCACGATTCGGACCGTATAAGGCAAACGTGGAAAGGGTGCAAGGCAGCAACCATCGAAGAAAGAGAGACCACCACGAATCGGACAAAACACGCAACTTGGGCCATCGTGTCTGGGCGTGGTGGCGCTCATCCAGGGACTTGGAGGTGAGGGTTGGTGGATCGCGTAGAGATTTGTGAAGCTACAAAACCCCCCGCGACTTCGAAATGGCAGTAAAGAAGATGGCTGTATGGCAAATACTTTTGTGAATCCGTCTCGTGTGGCTGAGCTTTTGGAGCTATTCCTCCCGCACGTGGAATCACACGCGGTCTAGTGACCGGGTAATGGAGGGCAACTCTTGATCTGCAGCAGATAAATGTAGTCAATATTCCAAATACCAATATATCATTAAATGAAAAATACACCAAAGCCAACGCAATAATGAGTAATCTCGGTTATGTGTATAGTTAGTTCATTTATAGTTCATTTATTTGGTATAGCCCTGTGAGCCATTCGGCTCTTGAATCGGGGGAACACGTGTGCTAAAAATGTGGCATGCTCTGCATTGTGTGAGAAATGGATAAAAGGCTGGGGCAGTGAGCACATTTTAAGAGCGCTCTGGGTGGGATTCACGAGGGTGTTGCTGCTGTGCCATCATCAATTGGACCTCTCAGGGTTTACGTTCACTCGACGGCGAGCGTGAGTGTGGAATGGACATTCACGGGGCTGCTTGACAATCTGACAAAACTACCGGGCATTACAAACAGAACATGAATTCTACAAGGTGTCTTTAGCTTCACCAAAGCTTAAACATAACCGCCAAGTCAAGCTAATTTTGTTTAACCAGGTGAGAGTTCGACAGACGATTATGAGTCTAATTTCCAAGAATGACCTGGATCACCAAAATTACAAAACGATGAAGGCACAACAATTGAAGTAAATAGCAATCGGCGCAAAAACAGCTGTAACCTTTCAGCAGGCGGCGTTGCAGATAATTATCCACCATGAAGCCACAATAAAAACCCACCTCTGTGATTCGTCCATATCAGGACGATATCAGCCAGGGGCAAGGCGAAACAGGGCAAGTGTATCCATTCGACTTCTCTTGAGAATGATATTCTCCCACCTTGGATTTGGAGTCGGCGGCACAAGTTCAGAATATCGCGCAAAGCCATCAACCCCACGATTCGTGGCCATTACTTGTGGCCACATCTACGCCGTAAAATTAATAAGCATATCGCTAATAATTGATTGTACGGCGAATTATTAAAGGGGCCGCTGCTCATCATCCGCACGCCACTCATCCAGCAGCGGAGAGAGCCTGGCCGGGCTCCGCCCCGCGGCTGGAGACGTCACCGCGGCGCGGAGAGACGAAGAGGAGGAGGGGGAGCAGCAGCGGGGACGACGCAGCCATGGCGGGAGACAGGTGGTCACAGGCGGCGATCGGCGCGGCGCTCACGGCCGCCTCGCACCCTATGTTCTACGTGAAGGTGCTCATCCAGGTGAGGCCGGGCGGACTCCATCTCCTTTGGGGGATACCGGGTGGAGGCCCGGGGACCCCGGTGAAACCGCGGGGGAATCCCGATTGTGCGCCCCCAGCAAGGCAAGGCCCGGCCAGACACCGATGCTAGGATAGACGACGTGCCGAGGAGGGCGCATTTCCGGCCCGCGGAGCCGGGAGGCCGAGGTTGGGGGTGACCACCGTGATTGATGGCGCTCTTATCTCCTCTCTCTCCCCGTGGGCTGCGCCGGCTCCGGCCTGGCCTGGCCGCCCGTGCCGTGACCGCGGTGGTCGCTTTACTTCCCCGGCCGGATTTGGCTCTGTCGTGTCAGAACCGGCCTAGGTTGGGTCACCGCAGTGACATTGAACCCCCCCAGTCGGCTTGTTCTCTGATCCCGGTTTCCAGTGTCTCCTCGCATCACGACCCCGAGGTCGGCCTGACCCTAACCTTAATCATGACCTTCATCTTGACCTCTACTCCTACCCAACGCACGAGCTCTGGGGGTCTCATAATGACTCCTCGTGTCGTGACCCCACGCCTGGCCCGACTCCAGACCCCTGGGTCACTCTTGACCTCAACCTCGACTAGACCCCTGGCCATCTCTCCTGAGATCTGGGTCAGATCCTCGACTTGTTTGTCCGATTGCTTAAAGCCTCGACGCTCGAGGACTGACTACGGTCTCCGCAGTTTTGTTTTTTACAAACAGACGGAGGCTTTTAGTTGAAATATCTCCCGCCACGTCTTTTCATGTTTAGGCTGGAATAATATTATTGAAGGATACATTTCATGAGTTAGAATTTAGGGATCATGATTTACCTGAGACCACTTAAATTTATCCTCATTTGTGGGGACAGTTTTCTTAGCCAAATAACAATGATACTCTTTGTTTACCCAGGAAACCCCGGCTGAATCTTTATGAGGGTTCTTGCTAAGTGTTGACAGCAGGGGGCGATGTTGCCACTGCTTCTGCTGCTGTGTGTGAATCACGTGCCTCCTCCCGCCACCCTCCAGGTGGGCCATGAGCCGCTCGCCCCATTGTGGGGACGGAACATGTTTGGGCGCCACGTGCTGCAGTTGCCAGGCCTCTTTGGCTACGGTGAGACCGGCACCAGCATTGGCACTGTCATCAACACTGGCACATCTTGGCCCTGCTCTGTGTGTGTGTAAGCCCAGCACTTGGCAGCAACCACACGACCCTTGGCCAAAATACATGGACGTTTTGTCAGTCTACTGCTGGATGAAGTCTCCCCACACCTGTGCGGGTTATGGAGGTTATTTTACGCTAACTTCACTGTGCTGATCAGTGTGGGTTGGTGAACACGGGGAGCATAGATGTACAATAACTAATGCAATATATACACTGCCCACGCCCGACAGCCTGTAACACCTATTATGCATGGTGGCCGCCATATCCAAGCACAACCCAGGCTTAATTCGTGTAGCCTCCCAGATCGATATAATTCTGGGTAATTTGATCGTAGGCCCAAAACAGTGCAGTTG